AAAATGATAAATACCTTTTATCGGAAGAAATAAATCGCGACGACTGACACATTCCCACGCGAATCCAACTTTAATATAGCGAACACAATATTACATACGATCGAGACTGACACAAGCGGTCGACTGTGCCTTCGCGATACATTTTCTTACAGATCAGCTGGTACCGCGCCACGACTGACATATGACACATTCGCGGGCGAATACAATTTCAATATGGCGGACACAATTTCATACGCTATCGGAACCAGCGAAAGCGGCTGATTGCGCTTTCGCGATATATTCTTTTCACAGATTCGCAGAATGTATCAAAGAGAAATATGCAACGCACTCGCATATAGATTACCCAGTCAGCCACGTCTGTTCTAACAGATATTGCCAAGTGCTTGCTACAAATTATTGTCAGCAAAAAGGCTACAAATTTGGTGCAAGAGTTGTTATTACCGATTAAGCTGGCAGATTGCCGGCAAGAACCAAGCAAAGCTTGCTAACATAACTAGATAGCAAATTGGCGGCAGAAACCGAGCAAAGCTTGCTGACATGACTGACATCAGATTGTCAGCAAAAACTGAGCAAGGTCTGGAGTGCGCAATCTGATGGCAAATTGGCAGCAAAAACCGAACAGAATCTGCAGTTTATTACAAAGTATTATAAAATAGTTCCGTCGCTTATCGCTATGCGGCGCGTTATTCATTATCTATACCCGTATTCAAATTCTTGTCATGAGTGTATATAAAGCCTGCAAAACGCTAATAATATTATAATATATATATTTCTATCAGTTCAATTTTTGACACAATTCTTATACAAGAAATTCAGATATTGAACTGATTTTTGGCAAATCGGACAGATAATTGTTCGATTTTCACTTATTCGAACAATTTCTGTCCAAAAAGATATCTTTAATTTTGTAAATTAAATTATTTAAATTTACTTATACGTTTTAAAACATTAATATATGATTTTATATAACAATACTGTTAATTTGTCTTATTTTTGCCATCAAAAGAACGTCAGAAAATGGTCTCCCGTTGATGTGATATATTTTGGGTCTTATGAGACCTAACTTAGGATGTCTAATTATCTAATGGTCATTTTATGACCAAAACTTATTATCATTTTGTTACTTAGGGTTGAGACTTTAAATCCATTTAAATATACTATTTTATATGAATGGCCATAAGCTGCAGAATTTGTTCGGTTTTTGCTGACAATCTGCTGTCAGATTGTCTTGCGCAGATCTTGCTCGATTTTTGCCACCAATTTGACGTCAAATCATGTCAAGCTTTGCTCGTTTTTTGCCGTCAATTTGCTGTCAGGTTATGTTAGCAAGCTTTGTCACCAAAACACAAGCTTAATGCGGACACAGATGGCACTGGATTTGTTACCAAGTTTTGAGCGAATTTGATGCCAATTTGGCAACAATTTGTTATCAAATTGCTTACTGGGTCGGTATCCGGCATCCTCTTAAGTAAAATAGGAAAAGAAGCGATGGGAAAGAATGTGATGTTTGATTTATTAATGTTTTCGAAGGAAAAGCCACAGGAATGCTTTATTTATTCAGTTTTATGAAAGAACGTGTTGCCCGCGCGCTTCTCTCGTGCGCAGATTTATATTTTAAAATTCAAACCGGAAGAATAAGTATAATTTTTTTCAGTCGGGTTTGCTGCAGAATAATAGTCGTAGCTAAATATTTACGAGATATTCTCCTTATGATTATTATGTTTGTAAACTACGAGATGGAAACAGCAATATCTCGCGCAGTGAAATTATTATTATGTTCAAGTTGTCAGTTTTGGAATTCTGCATCACGCTCTTGTTAATTGGCTCGTTTTATTTTATAAAATTAATAGCAATGAATAATTTAGTTTAGAATCAATTTATTTTCGAAAACTGAAGGATGAGATGATGCATGTTAGATCGCAAACAACTATAATAGCAGAAACCGTGTATTTTGATAATTCGATAAATGTTAAGAATTGAAATAGTGGCGTTAGTAATTTTATTCGTGTTAAGGGTGAATTTTTAATATCAATTGATTTTTATAGTGCAACGCACATAATGCACCAGATTATTTGTGTTTTTTTTTTCTTTACGTAAATATTTTGTCATTTTACATATCTCTAGAATTGTATCCACATATAGCTTTTAAAGTGTCTTTTTGTGTCTAAATTTTTTTAAGTAATCAGATGTATGAGAGAGAATGCACATTAATAATTGAAATGTCATTTTAATTTTTAATGATTCCCACTATGTACACAATATTTACATATACAACATAATAGCGTAAAAAACAAAATTAATTAAATAATAAAAACCAGAAACGCTTTGTGTTATAAAAATTAATAGAACAATCGATATGCGTACACGTGCATACATAATTACAACCTTGAACATGTAAACTCTCGGCTTACTATAAGTTGATATTTTCATATAGTAAAATATCCATATAGTGAATATATTTATCCATATATTTTATCCATTGTAAATCGACTAAATACTTGTAAAATGATGTTCTCCTCTTGCATTAATTTCTCAATATTCACATTTTTCTGCGTGAAGGAAATGACTTAATGGGCAAGAAATATTAAATCAATATTTTTAAATATTAATATTAATTTTATGTAAATTTTCGAAACGTTTTAACATAACGTTTTTATAAATATTTTAAACATATTATTTTATAATATGGTATTTTTGAGTATCATTAAAACATTTTCGAAATATTGTTTCAAATATTTTTTCAATGAGCATCGATCATTAAGTCACCATATTGATTTACATAACATGCTCATTGGTCCAGACAGATCTTATGCTATGCATATGCAGCTATCAATTTGTGTGCGATAAACCTATGGCAATCAACCCATTTCAACGCTATTAAAATCTTAAAATTGGTGTCAAAGTTTGTTCATAATAAGTTTGTTCATAATAAAATACAACGTTAAAACCTGCATGCTTAGCAATATTACATATTATTGAATATCATTGTAATAACGTTATATTAATGATTTTTCACTTATTGGGGAATGAAAGACAAAGTGCGAAACGCAGGTTAATATTAAAATATTTAATCGGATTTTATGCCAGTGTATTCTAATCAAGAAATTTTAAATACATAAATATGCGTGCAGCCTTAAAATATTTATCTGTATGCAATTCCTCATATATATACATTATTTATATATAGCAACATTTATTATACATGATATCAAGGAAATTTTAATTTTAATGGAGCAAAATAAAAAATTCCCTCGATAATATGTTTCCGATTATATCTTTGTAAGAAAAGTCATATGCACCTTGCACTTGTTTTATGACGCTTGTAAAAATTTCATTTATTACTTTTGCATTATGTACACGTAATACAACTGATAAAATTTATGCAAGATATCACACGTGCGGTCAACGAGCAGTGACCTGGATGTCCGTCGATTGTCTGGTGAGCAGTGCGTTTTTATCTTCGTCTGTCTTAAAAAAGTTCGAGCTGCGAATATGCTATGCCCGAAAATATAAGTCTACAAGAGCACATATGCGATTTTTACTTGTTCACTTGCAATTATGTGACAGAGCGGCAGAATTAAACGAAAATATGAGCGATATTGATAGCAAATGTCATTTTGAAGAAAATAAATATAGCGACATTATAATTTAAATTTTCCGATAATAAAAATTAATATATGTAACCTTATATGTAACACTCTTAATATATGCAGAATTAAATCATTTCAATTGTGTATATACAGAATTCTACGTAATCTTTTATTAAAACTTAAGGTATAAGACCGTAAAAACTAAATGTTTCGATCCACTCAATGATTACGTAAAAGCCTTATTTATAATGATAGGAATAATCCACACAATAATTACAAGGAAAGATACACATAATAATTACAACCATAATAATCGTTTATTGCATTAAATTAATAAAAAGTGCACGGAAATATTGTAGTAATATAAAGTTAAAATCGTCAGTGATAGAGTCGCAGAGATACCACGAAACTGCATTTCCACCATTTTATAAAAAAATTATCCATTGAAAGCGTGACTCATCAAAATTTTTAATGTTTTTTTTTGTCTCTATATCTTTCTCTAACTTTTACTGAGGAACAATCGAGTTAGTCTGGATAAAAAAATATAAACTACTTGAATATAGAAAATACACAGAAATCTAGAACGGAAATACTTGGTGGGAGGTTTTAGTGAATAAATTTAAAGTCTCTAATTTTTGCGTTTTACGTAACTTCATGATCAAGATCAAAGTCTAACTACTTGGAATAAAAAAAGAATTGTTATTGCGTACGATCTATTCAATTGATCACCGAATTTCTGTTTACAAACGATATCTTTAAAAACTATTTTTATTCCTTTTTCGTTTTCATTGTATGCTTTGTATCTTCTCTGTTTTATTTTTTTGACTTGTCAATTCCGCTATTATCATTTAGAATTTATTATTATATTGAAATGATTTTCTTTTCGCGTAATCTTTTATGTTATGTAATTTACCGTTGCCGAACATTTTTGTTATTATACAATTTTACATTCTGTAGAGGAGCATCCCCAAGTTGAGAATGCAAAATGTATAGAGGATTTTCATTTATAATATGTAATTATTATCACATTTATCAATACACGCACTCACATCTACAGTTTGCTCGATCTGTTTCCTTCCATTTTAATTTTTCAAGTTTAATTGAATCATTGAGGTCGTGCTTTTAACGCTTTAATTTGCAATTTATAAGGTTACTGCGTGACAAAGAAAAAAACGTAGAAAAACAAGAAATCTATTGACATCGATAGTAAGAAAAAGAAAGAGAATAGTTAATTAATGTCGGAATATTCAGTATCGATGGTGGTGGACGTTGAAAGCGCTGCTTATAAAGGACTGCGGAAAGACAAGCTGATCAGTTCAGTGCTAATGCATTGAAAGGACTTGATCGTGCATTCGTGAAACTATATAGGTGGGTGTTACATCGAGAACTCTCCCCAACTCTCTTGAATTCCCTCATAATTAATCGACATTGGATCAAGAAAATGTCTATAAGATTTTTCTTTTTCTTTTCGTGTCTGTGATAATACAGTGAAATGATATAACGCATTCATCAGTGTTTTAACATGATTAGCTTATTTATTGCAATTGTAGATATTGCAAGAATTATAAGGGATCGCAATAAATTTTTTTTTAATTTCTAAAAAAAAAAAATTTGGGCTAATTTTATAGAGTTCTAGAAGAAAAAATAAAATAATTTATTCATAATCTGTGTTTTCAACTTATCTTAAGAATCTTTAAAAAGTTATTGATATGTTTGTTAAAATCTGTTAAGAGATAATATTAGAAATTATATTTAAATTAAAATATTGTAATTGCGAATTTTTAATTTATCTTCTTTCGAAAAATGATATTTTTGTGTTTTAGAAAGCGCTAATTAAATTCAGGAAAGCACAATCTAATCTGTGTATTTCTTTTAGAAATCATGTCAACAGCCGAGCCAGAAATGGTAACTTCAGCGGTTACAGCCACTGCAACCGCTGGAATATCGGCAACTACCGTTTTTCTCTCTCTCTTGATACCTGCCCTGGTCCTGTACTACATCTACTTCAGAATTTCCAACCGTCATTTGTATGAGCTAGGGAACAAATTACCGGGTCCTGATGGCTTACCGATCATTGGAAACGCGTTACTGCTCAGAGGAAGTGCCGACAGTAAGTTCTTACACATAAGAATATAATAATGGCAAATATAATAATTGATGAATTCAATTAATTAATTTGATATATTGAACAGAATCCGTATTATATGAGTCACTAGCCAAATCTTAAATCGACAGTTTTTATTACGTCCCTCGAGAATACGCGTTTAAATTATAAAAATGATAAATACCAAACGATATGATATTTGCATTATGCCTTTCGTATTAAATTTGTACGAATACTTGTGCCAGTGTATTTTGTGTCTTTAGAGCCCGGTTGCACCAATATTATTTTGGCTTTAAGCGAAACTGAAAACTTTTGGCTTTTGGCAATAACCAATATTATTTGGCTTTCAACTTTAGGTTTTAGATTATAAATTAATCAACGATTAAAAAAAGCCAAAAGTTTTAAGTCTGGCTTAAAGCCAAAATAACATTGGTGCAACCGGGCCTAAATGTTCAAAAGCTAAACAGATTTTTTCGTTCAATTGTTCGATATTTGTAACATAATTTTATCATTCATCAATATCATTTAAAACAATAATTTTATTTACTTAAGAACATTCTCCACTACTGCAAATTATTATCGAAAGAGTAATTTTTTCATATAAAGATGTATTTACAGAGAGCAAAAACGTAACGTTATAATTAAACCTTATATAGATAGTTTATGATAAAGATATGTTCTTAAGTAAATAAATTTACTGCTTTAAATTAGAGCTCAAGTGAAATCCCTCCTGTACACCTTATTATCCGTTGTACATGATAAGTACTCGGATGATCTATTGATCTATGAATAATATCGATTTGTTTTCCATAGAATCGGTTTGAAACGGGTAACGGCAAACAAATGATTGTCTATTTGTGTTATATTATTTTCCATTTATTGTCTTTCCCCGAGAGCTTTACTTTCAATTATATTTTCTCTCGGTAAAGATGTAAGGTCGCGACTAGCGCGAATATATTGTATCTTATCGAAACTTATTTAAATTCGAAAGATATCGTACCAACTATATACTAATTCCAATATTCGCTAGAAACTAGATCAATAATTTTAACGATTGTGCCATATTCGTTATGTTACTTATCGTCATCTGAATTAGATAAGCAAGCGGCTTTCGCGTGCGGCAATGTGCTCGTTTATGTAACTTCCGATCGACCCGACCGATTCTAACCGACGTACCCTGTTTCTGTTACAGCCGTCTTTCGCACCATATATAGGAAATCCTTCGAATACGACCAGGTCATCAGATTGTGGCTGGGGCCGAAGCTGATGGTCTTCCTAATGGATCCGCGCGACGTCGAGATCATTTTGTCTAGCCAGGTTTACATCGACAAATCCGTCGAATATAGATACTTCGAGCCCTGGCTCGGCAACGGTCTCCTTATCTCCACCGGTGCGTATTAGCGATACGTATAATTTTGCGCTCTTTCGTCATTTTCATGATTAATATAATATTAAGCGAAAAATTTTGATAATGAATGGAACATATTTATATTAACTTTTCAATTATGTAACGTACATAATTATCCACCGGTAAGTGCACATGGTAGAGAACCTCTCTAATCTATGCCGTTCGGAACCGGCGTTAAACTGTAGGTCCCATATGTCTGCGGTAGGCGCACACCGTAGACATATGTTGAGAGGTCACCACATCTCTGATAAGAGATTACGGACTGAAGAGGAGGAAGTGCATACGACCCCGCACAATTAGTTTAAAGTAAATCATTACATCCAATTTCTCTCCGTTGAACGTACTAATACTATTTTCATTATGAGCGCGTTACATAAGTTTGCCAAAAAAATATGTTTTCATCAAATTGAAAATATGTCTATTATTATCTCCAATGCGGAAATGTTGCAATCTTTTAATACTTTTGCATTACAAATAATAATCGACAATATTTTTATTTTAATAAAACTAGAGCATATGTAATGTACAATACGCGCCATTTGTTCTTGGTCCTCTCTCCCTCTCTCATATATGGGGTAGATTTTTCAATATATTAAAATAATTTTTTGTGTATTATTAAAAAAAAAAAAAAAATGTGCAAATTAGAAACTTGCACATTGCTTCCTGATCATTTTATTTCGCTCATAAAGCTCAAGGCAAGCGAATTTTTTAATTTTGGCTTTCTCATAGATGAAGATATCTCAAAATTTGCGAAAGTTACAGTGTGTGCAGACATTTCTCAAAAAATTCAAAATTTTATAAAAAATGAACCCTTTCATCGATCCTCACCAAATTCAATACTAACCATCCTTTAATGATACTCTATTCATTTTTAAAAATTTAGCCCGATATCTCAAAAATTGCGGAAGTTGGAATTTGTACAATGTACATTTCGTGCATACATACATACATACAGACATTTTTTAGAAATCTGATTTTTCGACATTTTGGAACATTCTAAACACATTGGCACAGAAAACCGGAAAAAAATTTTGTCACAAAAATATATAAATTTCTAATAGAATAAACGGTCTTATAACGCAGTTATAAGACGAAATAATTAGTTACGGTTCACGAATGACAAGTTACTTTTCCTATAGCTCGTGTCCGGTCAATCGTATAAGAAAATGTGTGCCAAATAGTAAACAAGTTTACTTTTCTAACGCAATCTTTCCTCCACCATATTCTCTTAATCCACTACATCTCTTAAAAAATATCCACATTATTCGAACTTAATTTATCTACTTCTTAGATAATTTTCAGATTAATCTAAAATGATACGTTGTCATTATAATAGGCTTTGTCGCTTTTCTCATCTCTAACACGTAATTTTAAGCGGATACGAAAAACGAGCAAGATTCGCTTTCTAGAGTGATGTTCTGGAGTACGGTATTCCTCGGAGAAATGCGAAACAAACTCTCGCATGGTGAAAACAAACAAAAAGAATGAGATGCAGCGACGATCATCGACCTACGTAGCGTGTCGTTTTATCGCAACTTTCTCGACGCGTACCGGGATATCCTTCTTCTCGTTGACGAAACTCTCTCGATCTCGGCGGATGCGTACGTAACAACGCGGGTATGTAACGACGCACGTTACCCGTCTTGGTTCACTCGCGTGCATCGTGCATCGTCGTTGTCGTTATTGTCGTTTGGCTGCCAAAGGCGTCCGTACCGCTCGTGCACCATCCCGTTGCTCTCTTTTTCCCCCGGATCAATTCGGGTTTCTGCAGCAACACCGTGTTTCATAACGATTGCGTAATGCATGCCGTGTCATTTTAGTAATTGCCATTACCCTTAATGGCATGTGGACAGTCGAGTTTCATAATTCGGCGAAATAAGAGAGAGGGAGAGATAGAGAGAATTGACATTAAATTGATATTAAAATATAAAAATAATACAAATTGATATTAATATAGTGAACAGTATTCTACATAAATTTCTGACTTTTTTTAAACATAAATATCTTAATATTTTACTTGGAATGTCTAAACTAGCATTAACAAAAAGAAATGGAAGACGAGAACCTTACTATTAATAAAAAAAATTAAAAAATAAAGCACATGTGCTCTTTTCTATACTTTTTTAAATAAACTTTATCAATAATTAAAATATATATATATAATATATATGACAAAAGAAAAAACATTTTTATAATATATCTTTATATTTCGTGATATTTGAAAAAAGTTATTTTGATATTGCCAAAGTTAACATTATATGTTTCAAATCCCGCAATATCTTTCATATATTACTAGTCTCTGCACAAAAATAAAAATTTAGCAAATTATAAACTTTACGTAATAACAAGCCAAACGTCAACGTAACAGTAATACAAACACGGCATGACAGTGACGTGATAATTCGAGACATCAAATTGCAATATAACATTAAACACGCATTATAGGTAGACACGATCGTTAACCCGTCAACTATCTTGTTCTATTAAACCGGTCTTTAAATCGAAAAAAGATTTTACGTACATAATTAAATGTGTAATCATAGTTTAATCGACACTATTAAAAACTCTGAAAAAATTGATATTAAAACTGGAGAAATTAAAGGAATCTAGAGTTTCTCGAACTTTGAAGAAATAGAAAAGAAGCATTGTTGGATCAGCAGTGCGACGCTGAATCCTTTAGTCAAAGATTAATTCGGTACGAAAGAAGAATAGACGTGAAAAAATCGCGGCGCCTATGCGCGCATGTACGTGTTGCGGGCGGTGTGTATTTGTGAGACGATGCAGCTGTGTTAGGATCTCTTGCTCTCTCCCGAGAGCGGAGAAATGCAAAGAGGGAGAGTAAGCGAAGTGCAATCAGTCCGCGGTAATTCGCGAGCGGCAGAACAGGAAGGAAACTTGTACACGCTCGCGGTGCTTTCTCTCCCCAACTCCGTTCTCCGTTTATGCGTGCGCGCATCTCGCTCTTTCCAGGGATCGTTGTAACATTACTGCACGATTCCTATCGCTCTTCTTACGTATGCGCACGTATTGCGACATATTATCTTGCCCTCCCCCTCCCCCCTCCACCCTCCTCTTCTCACTCTCTCACTCTCTCATCGTCTTTTTCTCACTCTTCTTCCTACTTCCGCGTGTTTAGTAGAAAGTGTTCTACATGAATACGCGATATCGACGGACTTGTCGTGACTGTGAAAAATAAATGAATTAAGACGAATCTGACAGGAATTTGTTTAAAATTTAATTTTTAAAATCAAGATTCGATTTTAAACGATGTATAGATTTCCCGCCATCTTCTATTTCCAAATTTGTTTAACGACATAATCAAATTCTGGATCGTAAAGATCCCGTTATCCCGCAGAGATTACGAGATTGTAAAATAAATTCCTAGTGAGAATCCTTTTAATTCAATTATAGCGGGGAAATTATTTATATCATCTTTCATTACAAATCAGATCAGCAAGAGTCTATAAATTATTTACAGGTCCGAAATGGCGTGCTCATCGCAAACTGATCGCGCCGACATTCCATTTAAATGTGCTGAAGAGCTTCATCGATCTTTTCAATGCCAATTCACGCGCCGTCGTAGAAAAGTTACGTAAGGAGGGCGACAATGAGTTCGACATTCATGACTACATGTCCGAATGCACCGTCGAGATCCTTCTCGAGACTGCTATGGGTGTCTCCAAGTCCACGCAGGACCAAAGCGGCTTGGAATACGCTCTGGCAGTGATGAAGCAAGTATCTAAAAAAAAATTTGACGAAAAAATGAAGAGAAAAAAGAGCATTAAAAATTGTTTATATGTACAATATATCCCAGCACTGCTGTGGATGCGTCATTTTAATTATATAGTTTATTTCATTTGGAGCCAGAATTGCTTTTTTTAGCCAAAAGAATTCAAATTTATTAAAAATGATATTATAGATATATTATCATATATGTATTATCATGCGTATTGCGAATTTCTATGCAGTAAAGCTTTTACGCAGGACGTATTAACAGATATATTAAAGCAAAAGCATAATTAAAAACGCGAATATCATCTTGTTATCTTTTAGAATGTCGAACATTCTACATATGCGTCATATGAAAGTCTGGCTCAGAGCTGACTGGCTATTCAATCTCACGAAATACGGAAAGGATCAAATTCGTTTATTGGAGATCATCCACGGACTCACGAAGAAGGTCATCGCGCGTAAGAAGCAAGAATACAAGACCGGTAAACGCAATGTCATCGATGTTTCTGCACAAAATGGCAATGCCAAAAATGGCAGTGCCAAAAATGGCAGTATCCAAGATAAGGTAATTACCTATTTTTTTCGCGGCACGTGTGTATGCGTGCATGTGTACTTTGATATAATCCCAGAAAAAAAAGTTGATAATTTTCGTGAAAATAATTTTCAGAACTAAAAGTGACACTGAGCGATGCACAAATCATCATTATTTATGTATATATCTTATATTTTTTTAGAACGCCTCTGTGGAGGGACTTTCCTTCGGACAAGCGGCTGGTCTGAAGGACGATCTTGATGTGGAAGAAAATGACATTGGCGAGAAGAAGAGACAAGCTTTCCTCGATCTGTTGATGGAAGCTGGTCAAAATGGTTCTGTCCTCACGGAAACCGAAGTCAAAGAGCAAGTTGACACTATCATGTTTGAAGCAAGTATCACAGAATTTGTCATTACGGATTTCAAGAGGATTTCATACATTAATGATGCCATCTTTTTCTCAGGGACATGACACGACCGCGGCTGCATCCAGCTTCTTCTTATCAGTGATGGGTTGTCACCCAGACATTCAAGAGAAAGTTATCCAGGAACTTGACGAGATCTTCGGCGACAGCGACAGACCCGTGACATTCCAGGATACGTTGGAAATGAAATATCTCGAGCGGTGCCTCATGGAGACTCTTCGCATGTATCCACCCGTGCCAATCATCGCTCGTACAATCAATACCGACTTGAAACTTGGTCAGTTTTAAAAACTTAAAGTTACATTAATAGCTTCGAAACAAATCAAATTAAGCAAATTGACAAAATTGTCGCGCACAAGTCCACAACTTGCAGTATTCTAAAAAATTTAACGATTTTTTTGGAAAGACAAATATTTATAAGAGAGTTGTAAAAATCGCATAGATATTTACGGAGCATACAAGTTATATACGAAAAATCGTTCATTCATTATCCTTTTTTTCGTTAATCATAAAGCTCGACAATGTATCCACTTCGAATATTGATTTCCAGCATCGGGAGATTACACGATCCCAGGCGGATGCACAGTTGTGGTGACGACCTTTAAGATGCACCGACAGCCGCAAATCTATCCGAACCCGGAAGTTTTCAATCCCGATAATTTCCTACCCGAGAAGACCGCCAATCGGCATTACTACGCTTTTGTACCGTTCTCTGCCGGGCCGCGTTCTTGCGTGGGTCGCAAATACGCTATGCTCAAGCTCAAGATCATCCTGTCCACAGTCCTGAGGAATTTCCGCGTCAAGTCAGACATCAAAGAATCTGACTTCCGACTCCAGGCCGATATCATCCTCAAGCGAGCCGAGGGCTTTAAGATCAGAATGGAACCGAGGAAACCAGCGGCCGCCACCGCTTAAACAGCTTTCTCAAGTTCCGCTTGCGTAGTTAACAGGGTGGTAGAGAATAGCAGTATAATGAGGAGAAGCGGACTATGCATTTTTCGAATTTTAATTAAAGCGAAAAACGCATTCAAAAAAAAATCCGCATCTCGCATGTGTAGATTGCGTGCGCAGATCGTATATGCACGTATACATGAACATACATGTATATTACTGATAGTCGTTAACCGTTATATGACACTTATTGCTCTTGTGTTGATATTTATCTCTTGCAATAAAATGCGGTGTACGCACTGCGAAATCTGAAATCTTTGACATTTTCATCGTTTTTCCATATCCTTGATTTGCCGATATATATATATACAATCTTAACGAAAAGCAAGATCGCAAACATGCGAAAATTCGATTTAAAGATCGCGAGGACGATCCAGAAGAATTTTGGAGAAGGAAAATTGTCAGAGGTCGATTCCAAGATCAAAGGAAATGAGCAAGATTCGATTGAAGCGACTAAAACTCTCGCTGGAGCTCGACAGGAAGAAATGAGAAAGGTTAAGAACGAATTAAAGGAGATGCTTCCGATATTAAAACCTTCAGAAGTGAAAAGGTTTATTATTTCAATTTTAGAATAAAAAATACACGCGCTCTCTCCCTCTATTCCGTTGATCACATGCCTTACTTTTTTAAAGCTTTTTTTTACAACGCTGTTATATATGTATATTTTTCACTGTTTTTTATCCTTTTTTATTTTACTTTATTTATTTGTAAAAAATATGAAATTCCAAATTTATTTTTTTCTAATAATTAATATTGACATATCGTCGAATAGATTTCATTTACCATCTCACGAAGCTATTATTCACGAACTTGAGGAAAATGATTACGAGGTATCGGTGAGATATTTGAAAGAATTGTTTGAGCTCGATGAAGAAACTCGGAAAGAAGCTGGTCCTGGTACATTAACGTGGAAAAAACCGCGTTTAAAGGACAATAAAGACGCGATGAAGCGTCTCAAAGAAGGCTTGATCGCCTTCGAACAAGCCAAAAACGCTGGTGCGTGAAAAGTTAAAGATATATATAAAATATATTTTTAATGTATTATAATATTTGTCCCCCCACAAGTAAAATAGAGAAGTATTCTATATTGAATTATAATCAAACTTATATAATAGAGAATACCTATAAGTATAATAATTTTAACATTTCTATCATTAAGCTTATTAATATATATAGAATTGAAAAATACAAAATAAGATGTGAAACGTTATGATTAAGGCCAAATTTCGTAATTGTAGGAGATTCACTTTCCATAATCGTGGAATTTCTGGATATGGCATTATTCTTTCAAGCAATGACATGGGAGTGGTGGTGGGTGGCGGAACGACTTTACCGTAGCGCTCTAGTAAATGCGGAATTAATCAAAAACAATGAACAACAAATGATAACATCGGTACACTATCTATACGGTCGATTTTTGTTCGAGCAAAGTTAGTAAACGACATAATGCACGCAGAATTACATATTGCATAGCAAAAAAATGTAATGCTTCTGAGCATACAAAACTCGCGACATCTTTTCCACATATTCTGAACGACTTTTACTCCTCGATGAAATATAATTACAATATTGTATGGTATTATTATTCACCATATAAAAAATATATTTATTAATGAGATATTTATGTTATACACATATCAATAATGGCGAATTAACAATTAATATAATATATATGTATTATAATATATTAATGTTATATTACATTCGCGTAATCAGTACAAAATACGACGGAATCATTATATCATTTAAAAGTCGCCCGTGAAGCATCTGAAGGAAAACATTGGAATGCGTCGAAAGTAACCGGTCGAAAAGAGCAAACTATTTTTCGAGAATGCAATGTGCTTTTGTACAAAGCGCTGCTGATGCATGCGCAACAAATTGATCCTAATCAACTGGATATTATCATAAAAGTGTACACAGAAGCTCTAGCACGAGCAACGGATTGTAAGTTATTTTTCATCGTAAAAACTGCAAATAATAAATGATATATTTTTTTCAAATCTCATTATACCATTCCAAATGTTATATATAACTCAATCGTTAAAATATTTTACCATTATTTAAATTCGTTAATTGAAGATTATTGTACAAGTCTAATTAGAAAATGTTATCACGTGAATTTATTTCAATAAAATTTACAATAAATTGTAGAAAAGGGGACTTCAACCTAATGATTTTGATATATATATTATTAAATAATGATTTTTAGCTATTGCTCATTTCTTAAAGAATTATTAATAAATAAAGTTGATGCGATGCAAATAGAACATTAGGATCATGATTTTGACAGAGTATGTCAAAATAGATATCATATATTGATGTTACAACATATTCAAGATTGTTGATGATTCGCATTTCTAGAATTTCGCCAGAATTTCGAAAATTGAAAAATCCAATAAAAAATTCAAAAACTCAAAGAAACTTCTCGATTCCAATCTTTGTAAATTAAAACATTTTTTTTAATTAAAAAATTTCTATAAGATTCGTTCATATTTATTTTGTGAAATCATTGATTATTTTAATGTCTCCACAGCTGAACACTATGAATATATGGCAAACGCTCTGTACGAGCTAGGTAAAAATCAATTACGATCCGGCGATATGAAACTCGCCTTCCAGAATTTCTCCAAATTTTTAGCGATGGCCAGGAAGATCTCGGATCCAGAAGGAATCTGTAACGCACATATGGCGCTGGCACTTGCATATAAGTTATGTATAACTCAAATCTGCCTTCTAAGAAATGGATATGATAAAATAATAAACATCAAATACGACACAAATAGAGAAAGAATAAATGCTAATTTTGAATTTTATTTGACTCGTATTTTAGATGTCTTTTCACACTACTTTGGCTCTCTCTTTCTCTCTCTCTCTCTCTCTCGCAAATAATTCTTTTAGACAATTCACATCTACAGGAATTGAACGATGAGGTAAACACGGAAAAGCATCTCAATCTATTCAGGAAAAATGCGGAAGAGTTCAAATTGTTGAAAAAACTCGCGCAGGCACATTACTGCATTGGCGAACATTTTCTGAGTAAGGTAAGAGAATACATTGTCAAACTAATTATATCTCATAAAAAAATTATAGGATTATATATACAGTCTATATAATTATAGAATAATATATATATATATATATTATATATATATATATATATTGGGAGAAAATATCACAGGAATAGAAATTCTTACATCTTTTTCGCGCGTGTAGGCGAAAATCATTAATAATCCCGGTATATTTTTTTAAATTTGTTAAATAAAAATAAATGTTTATGCTTTTTAGAGAAGACCAGATATTGCAACTTCTCATTTGAAAAAGTCTTTTAATTTGTATAATGACCTCGGTTTGTATGATGATGCTAATAAGGCGCGAATCATCGCTGGAGTTTCGAAAGGTAATAATATGTGTTTCTTCAAAATAAAAAGTAAATGTACAAGATTTATATTCATTGTATATATGTTCTTTAAATTCTTTTGCTCATTTAATAGGACAAGGAATTATCGATCAATACATCGATCTTATGCTTCAGTGTGGAGTAGACTCGAGAGCAATATCGACGCTTTGTCAATGGAAAAATCGTAGAAGCGTTTTTTGGACTGAGAAAACGCTACACACCGGTAAGGCAACAAATGAATAATTAATCATCAATTTAAAATATAATATATAAAAGAACTTGTCTCTCTCTCAAGTTTAATCTCTTTAACTAACATTTTAACTTGTAGCGCAATTTTAATTATCGCGGCCGATTTCGTATTATAAATCAATATAACAGATGCAACATTATTATTTCAGAGGATTCGGAGAAATCTTTTACTTTCGAGAACGAGGCAATATCATCATCGCTACCTACCCTTACAAATACTGCGCTTGTCGGGAAAATGTGACAGATTCGATTTGATAATTATCAAAAAATTATATATAGATATTTATAATAAAAATATATCCCATTTTGTAAATTTTCGTAGTAAATACGGTATCTCAGCAAACACATCATAGAAAATTCTAATTTTTGTAATATGTTGACATCTTTTATGAATGCTACAAATATACTCACGAGCGTTGGCACAATCTTTACCGGACACCCTGTATATGACTCTTTCAATTATTTAAAGATTACAACTCGACAATCACAAATTTATTTTTAACGGCTATTATTAAAGACGAACAGAGTGATATACTTTTATACAGATAAATAATACGTATTCAGTTTTATACATATGCTAATATCGTGCGTAAAAATTCGTAAATGAAGGACAACTCACACATACATTTCAATGTGCATGTCGATAATAAATGCCCTAAATGGCACAAAAAGATCAAAAGACATCATAATGATATCTGCAAGACAATAAGATGTTTTTTAGGGAGATACATTTGTTAATGTGTGAACAAATTAAAATAGAGTCGTTTTGTCACAATATGTAGATGACATGAATCATGCAAATGTGCACACACACACACACAATTAGGTATTATATCAATGTAAAAAAAATTTAGAATATATATATGAGAAAATTTAGCAATTTTAAATTTATAATGCAATTATTCATTGCCCTATTATAATTTACATATGTATAATTCCCTTATACGCACAGGTGCGCAAAACTACATCTCTCAAGAGCAATTTTACAACATACATATACTGTTTCTCTAAGATAAGATTATATTTAAAAGTTTCGACTGCAAAACAACAATACAGATAAGCGCCATACAATGTGTGTTTCGAGTAATGTACTCTACATGAGAAAATTTAATAATTTTATATTAAAAATAAAAAATAAAATTAAACTAGTTAAGTTATAATGTTAATTAACATATTGATGTTACCAACATGTAAAAATGCTAAAGTTTATGATAAAAAATTACTTATTTAACAAATTACATCGGTAATTTATCGCATCATTAATTTACCGCTAAATCTGCAAGAAAAGTATTTTTATTACACAATAATTATTATCAATTAACGTGTTGTATGTATGAATGGGTGGATGTGAGTGTGTGCGTGCGCGCGCGCGCATAATCTTTATTTCTGTTAAAATTTTTTTACATTTCTATAAACAAAAATTTTCAAAAATTTTATTTAGTCTTACTATCTCATTAATGAATCAATTATCTTCTTATATTAAAACCTTGTGTAAATGGAAATTTAGTTTAACACTACTATCTCATTAATGAATCAATTATCTCCTTATATTAAAACCTTGTGTAAATGGAAATTTACTGTACTACACATCATATCATATAAACGAATTATGTATTACATATTTCATTAATAAATCACTGTGCAAGTATTTTTACAGAATCGCTAGAATTCACACACCTACACATATCTTATGTCTTATAATAATAATTGTGATCGCTATACTGTATATGATTTTGTAAACGTCGTTGCACACATACTTTGATGTATCAAAAAACATGCGCAACGACTATACACTACTACAGCTATCGGTAGCCGTGTACAGAATAGCGACCTAATATCATATCTTATCATACTGTATAATGATGCAAATAAAAGAGGGACTTTCTCTTTTTTCCATCTGTTTTTTTTTTAATTTTAGTTTTTTATCTCTTAGTTTTACAACAAATAAGTCCTTTCTGCTTTTGATGTTAAAATTTTGTCACCCTGGTAGCTTGCTTATTCTATCTGTTACATAAAGAATATGTGAAGTAAATGTCATTGTGTTCATATATCATAAATTTTATTGAAATTTCTGCAATTTAATAACTATTATTATTTATAGACCATATGTTTCTTTCTCTATATAAAAAAAGAAACAGAAGTATAAATCATATTTTTTGAAAACTCGGCATACTAGAGAAAATGTTTGTGACAGAGTATACATCTATCAAAAGAGATCCAATTCTTTGAATCTACAGATATGAAATACATTGCACACACAATCAATTACTCGCATAATCATGTACATGTACAACAGAATGTACATGGTGATTGCGTGTAAATAGATGATAACAATATAACACAATTAGTTTAATGTGATATCATTGTCATCATCTATATCCATAATGCTGATCGGGTCCAAAGATGGCATATCAGCGCTATTGCGTATCTCGCGCGTTATATTCTCCAGAGTCTCTATTTCAGTATTTTGCAAATCTTTTGTGTTATTAATGTCCTCTCGTTTTTGAACTTCGGCAGCTGCAAGATCAAATACTTCTTTCAGTATCATGTTAGCTGCATCCATGGAGCTATCATTCAAGGTATGATTCGAGTTTTCCCGCTCTTCACACTTGTTATTCGTTGTATTATTCTCGATCAAGTCTTCGAGATTCTTTATGGTCTCCTCTAATTTATCCTTCTCCTTTGAGCTGTCTATTGTAATTGTTTCTTCTGCGACTTTTGCATATTGTACTATATCGTTATTACTATCTGCAAGAATTATTGCAACATCGTTCTCGTTTTCATCGCCATCTTCCGCCTGATTAAGTTTTTCACCATTCAAAAGATCCGATTTAACGGTATCTGTTGCATTATTAGGCTTGTCATCTATAATCACTTCGGTTTCCATATTCTGGTCACTGGCTGTATCTTGCTGCTTTCCTGAGGCCTCGACTTTGTCTTCATCCACGATTACTGTATCGTTTAAATCTATTTGATCTTTTAATGTTTCTGTCTCATCAGTGATGTCCAACACAATTTTTTCATTTTCCTCCGATTCATCTATATTTTCCTTCTGAGATTTATTCGTTAACTCGCACTGCCTCATTTCTATGTCCTTTATTATCTCACTTTCATTATCTTTGCAACTATTTTTTAAATCACTTTTGCAGCTTTCACTATGATTTTTATTATCGTCATCCTTGGTTGTGTTATTAATTGATGAAACCAATGGTCTAGTTGCATTGCTATCTTGTGTCATTTCTTCATGAAGATGTTCTTTGTCATTATTAGCCTCATTATTAGACTTTTCTTTTTCTTTAGTAGACATTTTTGTATCATTTTCTGCAGATACATCTTTATTTTCATCTACAGCAACGTTTGTGCACAATTTATAACAATATAAAAATTTAGACGTAGAAGGAGACATGTCCTTCACTATAGCATCTTTCTGTACATTTGTGTCTTTATCTATCGATGTGTTAATGTCTCTATCCATTGATGCCTTTCTATCTTTAGTCTTTGTATCTTCTTCCATAATATTATTATTCTTTGTATTTATTTCTTTTGTATCTTTGCCTTGTTCTATTTCAATAGATGTCTCTGTTTCATTCGGCACAGCCGTCGATTCTACACATTGTTCGGATTCTTCTGTCATATTTTCATCACATTGAATTTTCGGAGATTCTTCTACATACAATTTGCTTTCTGCGTTCAGTTTGTCAGTCACATTATAGCGTTCGCTGCTCGCTTCTTTCTCTGCTTCTTTCTTCTTTGCACTTTGTTCTCTCGATGAAGAAAAGATTTCTTCCTCATCTGTATCTACGACATTAATAGCGATCTCTTCAGACGGATCGTTGGTAGGCTTATCAATTGGTACAGTTTTGATTAAACAGATCTTTGCGTTTTTGAAGACTTTATCTTTTTCTGAATCAATTTTTAAGTCTTGTTTCTCCTTAATGCTTGAAATAGTTACCCTTTCCAATTTTAAAGAAGCTTGCATGAGATGTGTTAGACTGTGTTCTATGTTTGCTAACTTGGTGTCAAATTTCTTGCCGCACGTGTCACAGGTATAACAATTTTTCTTAACTTCTGACAATGCAATAGATTTCGGACTTTTAAACTCCGCCAATGATGTAATTTCCGTATTAGAGATAGAAGACGATCTCGTCCTTTTGTGAGTAGTCTTTTCCTTGTTTATATGCGCATTCGGAGTGTTTTTCGTCGTTTCCAAATTTGTATCTTCGGTGGGTGACTCATCAGTAGATTGTGAATGTACATTCGCAGTTACCCCTTGAAGAATAGTCCTCAATTTCTTTCTATCTGTCTTACTCGAAGAAGGTGACAAAGGCTTCGCGCAATCATCCAATTTCTTTTTTGATTTCAATGGAGAAGAAACATCAGAGTCCGAACTCCGATCACTAGCAGTTTTTGTTCTTTTACGTCCTCGACGTGTCGAAGTAGTAGTAGTAGAATAAGTAGTAGACTCCACATCAGACGATACCTTTGTTTCACTTGGATTTGCACGTTTTGTACCCAATCTTGTTACTTTTGTCGGTGTGCTCTCAACATCTTCGTTCTTCTCAGCGTCGATATGCCGTTTCTTTCCTCGTTTTATGTTATTGTTAACAGCATTATTCACCGACAATTCAGACAATCTGTCTTCTAATGAACTGTCTTCTGACAGAATGTACGATTTATTATCTTTATTTTTTTCGATCTTATGTTCTTTCTCGCTCTTGTGCGATTTTTTATCCAGCACATCCGTCAAAAAGACTGCGCATAGTTTTGTCTCTGCCAAATTGGATTCTACCTGTTGTGACCGCTGTTTCAATTTGTCTTTACTTGGATCCATCGTTATCCAACAGTTTCTGCATACCGTTAGACGTGTGCGATGAAATCTGTACATATCGGTACCATTCGGGACAATATTATGACATTTGTCGCATTTTCGAGCATTTGCTTTCACGTCGTTTTGTGATTTAGTTTGTGCCCTGGGTCGCCCTCTGCGGTTTTTGGCGAGCGGCTTATTATGTACCATATTTTCACTATTTTCGCTATCAGAATTTATTAGATCATAAAATGTAATATCTGGAAATGTAGTAACAGTCGTTTTGCGATTGACAACATCTGTATATACCTGCAATTAAACAAATGCAATCTCGTAATACAAGTTTAAGAAAAATATTTGATCAAGATAAAAATAAAATTGTACAAAGTATATACCTTTGGAAAATTCGAATAGTCTATCTCTTCATTAATCAAGGCTTTCAAATGGATGACTGCTTCCTGATATATTCTTTTCAAATCATACAAAACATCCAAATTATATCGACACGGCAGACATATCAGTTTAGAATCACTGTCATCCTTAAACTGCGAAAAGAAACAGAATAAATTATGAAATTTATTAATTACTTAATTCAAATTCAATTTTAATATAGATAACAGCTATATTATTTATTTATGACGCAAAAATAAAAAAGATAAAAATTTAAACTTACACCCTCATTAAAAATCTTGCGAATCTTCTGTAAAGGATTAAATATTGCGTGATTGTCCTTTGTAATATCAAAGATACGATTATTTTCTACATGTTCAGAACACAAACAGCAACATGGCATTGATGTTTTGATTTCTGGTTTTGAAGTTTTATGTGATTTCTTATACTTTTGCACAAATTTGGTGCACTGACCTAATTCATATGCACACTTGTAACATATTTTGTTCGATAGATTGATACTTTCGTTAACCTATAATAAAAGAATAGATTAGAAATTTTTAGAGTTTTTAAATTTTCTAACCGTTATTCTTAATTTAATAATTTTTATTATCTTGATTAGATAGTAAGAAAAAGAAAATTGAATTATTTTATTTTAATAAATACACACACACATCTTTCATCAACAAGTGAGACATAAACATATACAAAACAAATGTAATAATATACAATATACTAATAACTAAGTACATATAAATATTTGTGCTACATGTTTTAAATATAATTAGCTAATTTAAATAAACATGTAAAAGACAATATATTACGCAGTGATGGACGTAGAATCTAAACACTTCATTGTCCGCATATACACGTACTACAAAATGTCGGTAAAATGAGATACAAGATGGATACGATCCGCGTCATATTTTGCAAAGAAAATATTGCTCATTTACCTTATCGAATAGAGAGACATGAAAGTTTAATGAAATCTATACGATCTATCAAGTGAAAACTTATATTTCCTGTTTCGACAAAGATATTCCTAAAATTGGAACTATTTGGATTTAAGGCGTAGTAATTTTGCTAAAACACAAGTTTCACATCTGGGACACAGATGACGCGGTTCATATCAATGTATGTATATATGTACATAAATCACACACGCACAATTACGTGTATTAAAGTAGCATAATCTAAAAAATGCCAAGTATCTATCTAGAATTTCACGCACAGTACGAAATATGACAAATATATCCGCCGACCAAACTTAGAAAAACAGTCTTGTACTAACCTATAAATCGGTTAAGGCGATTCTAACCTAAACAAAACAGCCGAAATTTCCGATTGAGATATTCTGGATCAAACGTGCGAAAAGAGAAAGAGAGAGAGAGAGCGATTATATCTTTTTACAAGTTTATTCAATGCTACAATTTAATTGGATCTTTTTCGATCACAGCAAACTGCGCGAATGTGCGTTTATTCCATCTAGGTTATTCTCAAGATCATACCTTGCTAGATAAACATGTTTCAAGCTGATTAACAAACGTGTCGCGGTTGTCTGTTGTAATGTCCAGAAAGACCCCCTCGTCGCTCGCACACAGGAAGCAATATCGGCCAGGCATAGTGACACGCAAACGCAATGATGTAATCACATCAGCATCACAGATCGGTGATCGCCAATGAATCTTGAATCGGTGAAACTCTCTTCATACACGATTTATACAAGATAATTAGCCACGATCCGCGATGTTTTCGCTCTTTCTACGTTTCTACATGAACCGTGAAAAACCGTGATGTCGCGTACGCAACCTATCCTATACGTAGGAAAAATTGGCGGTAAGCTTACAGTCGACGGCAAAACATGGCGGACCAACGCGATATATCGGTCAAATCGATATATGAAAGTTATAGGTCGAATTGTGCTTACTCTCGTCTTTTATAATTTTCTTTTTTTTTTTTTTGCGCAAATGGTGTTATACCTAACAAAAATTTGTCATTAAATCGATTCGTTTCTTTCAGAACCGATGACACTGGAAACTTTAGAATCGGTGACTCCGATGTCATTGACCACCATATGATGCTTTATTTGCTATCCGATAAATCGATGAGACATCATTTTTAACGGTTTGAATTCGAATGAAGATGATGTTGATACTTAAATAATAACATGACATTATGCTTTTGACACATGGCACTATATTGAAGAACAGAAATAAGGTTTATTTAAGTAACAACACAAAATTATGTATATATGTATATTGTATGTACAAAGATATCTCGACATCAGATATCCATTTGCGACCATTCATTGTCCTTAATTTCAGGATATCACCTCACATTCATCTGACGAATACCACTTTTGTCATTAAGACAATTGCATTGCAACTCAGCAAGACAGTTATTATCATGCTCTCGATTAATTTTTATATCTCGCAATGTTTTATATTATCTTATTTACGACCTGTAATGGCAAATGAATCGGTTTAAAACATTGCAAATGATATATCTTATGGCAAAAATACGTCGATTGTGCGAATCATTTTGGCTATTCAACTAGACACTTTCCGGATTTCCTCTTGTGCAGTCTCGCTCGCAACTGACAAGTCTTCTATTTGGTTCTTTGTCCCACCAAACAAAACTCTCAATGTTTCTAACGCTGATGTAAACATATTCCTATAACGCAAACATAGAAAAAATTGATCAAGCTATTATTATTATTACAGAGTATGGTTCACAATATCATTGAATGTCCCTTTAATTTTACACATTTCTCAGCCGATTCCAAAAGATTTCTCCAAGGAAATTATGCAACCAATAGGTTTTGAGTAATTAGCAATTGAAAGTGGAAAAGAAGCTTTTGATAAAATACGAGGACAAGTAACGAAACAATATTTATCAGTTAATTTAAAATAGAATTTATACAAAATTTTGCAATTTGGAATTTAGTCCTAGAGAGATATAATATTGACAATTGAACATTTCTGATAAATGAATATTTAAGATAAAAGAGTATTTAAAAGGACAAGTGTTGGTTTTGTGTATACATAGAGTATCTCTCTCTCTCTCTATATATATATATATATAGAAGATCTCTCCCGTGTATAAACGCGCTTTATTGCTCGATAGCTGGATGGGCCATCACCTGATGCCGTCCTTCATGCTCTCATAAATCTGATCGGGCGGCAGCTTCACGGAGGGCATCCTCTCCTCCACGAAATCCAACCCGACGCACACCGCGTTGTCTATCGCCGTAAACGGCGTTTCCAAAACACCGGCGATTCTGCCGGTCACGGGGCTCGCAAAGTCGCATCCCGCGCGCATCCCGTCCTCCGCGCTGCCTAATATCGCCGCGACCGACTCGTGCGAATTCTTCGTAATCGCGTAAGCGTTGCGAAGGGCCGAGGATACGGAGGCGAACACCGGTAGCGCCAACAACCGACGCGTGCACGTCATATTGCGTGCATTCGCGTCCGCGGTGACGACGTTCGTCGGCGTGGTAGGATCGTGCGTGCCGCACATGACGCTCAATTGCTGCAAAACAAACAGCGCAAACAAATGTGTGAGCGTCTCGCGCATCGTCGCACAAAAAAAATTAGGCGGGTTTGGTTGCGGTTGGAGATACCTTTGACTATTGCGGATTGACCAATCAGCCGGCAAGCTGCCTTGCTCTGATTAGTCAATATGCAACTGTCAACCGTATCCCCAACCGCAACCGAGCCCGCAACCTGTAGTGTAATACGACCTTTACATATAGCGGATCGAAGCACCAATCGAAAGTCGTTATCCAGGTATTCCAACTCTTATTTGAGGAATTCTAGTTTCACTACGTCCTTCTTTCCATTTGATTAATACTTTGTCCAAATTTACACCCAGTTATTTCTTTGAACCAAAATGAGTAGAGAGAGACAAGTTACATTTCATACAATATCATAGAAAATGTATAAACTGCCGATTAATGTAATAACTTAAATAACAACCGATACAGATTGTCGTGTGTATATGGAACGTCAATATTTCTTGAAAACTTTAATCTGATTATAGAAGTTGAATCCTCCTTTTTCATAGAGTAAGTTAAAAAAATATATATATGTTTATACTCAATAATATCCTAATAGTAATTAATTTGATATTAATTACATATTTCTAATATATACACTTAATTTTTATCTTATCATTACGGAAAGATTATGAAAATAAAAACTAATATAAATACCTAAAACATTCCTTGAAAGATTATTTCTAACCTATGCCAAATCAGACTTACTTGATACAACAAGAATTTTCTTTAATTTTAGATCATGACTGCTGTAAAAGTGCACGGTGGTATCGACATTTTAAGGCTGCCAGTAAACGAGGAAGAGCACATTTGTCCTCCATGGCGTATCAAATACACGCAATCTCATATACTCCATTCTAAGTGTTCAAAAAGTGAAAGTGGCTGTGGTTCCAATCACGACACTGCCTGTCAGTTTTGCGTGTAAGTTGATCATTAAAATATTTCAATCATTTTCAAAATATTATAATATAAAGATATATCTAGAAAGCAATTTTTAATATTTTAGATATAACAATGCATTAGAATTGCCACATATGCCAGATATGGTATTTCCCAATAATGTATTAACTCTGACGCATCAGGATGGAGCATTACTGCAATTCAATGCTTTGGATTCTTTAAAATATGTCTCCAATGGAAAGATTAATGTACAGCTTGCTTGTGCAGAGGCATGGAAAGAATCCAGGTATATCATTAATTATATACATGCTTTTTTAAATTTACTTATAATCATTATTGTGTATAATTTGCCATTTAAATGTATATTAACAGATTGGAAAGTAGCGAATATTTGGAAGAGAAGATAAAACCTTTTGATTGGACATTTACCACCAGTTATACTGGTACAATATCAGGTTTTGAAGTTGAAGAAACAAATGAGAGAATTGATATGGATAAATTAAGGCAGAAGGATAAGATTATGTTTTATCATGATTTAACATTGTTTGAAGACGAACTTCACGACAATGGTATTGCAGTAAAAATTATATAGAATATATTATAATATATAGATACTTTCACTTTTAGTCATACATGGCATTAGAGATATACATTTGTCTTTCCCTCTATCCCTCTCATTCTCTATATATATACATAGACGTATATATATATAAAATCCTTGATTTTTTATTTATTAGAAATGTACTATTGTCTAATGAAATTATAAATCGTATACTCTTCTCTAATTTTATATAAAAACTTTATGTAAAATCAAACAGAAAAAAGTTAGGTTTGAACGCGGATGACAATTTGCGATCGATTTGTGTTGAATAATAGTTTGTTACTACATAACAGCCAGATCTCGCCGTTGTCGTTATACGCACATGATACGCGATGCGCACGATACTCGAAGTTCTCACGTTGATCTCGCGCGATGTCTCGGGATCCGTCATCGTTCCGACCGAACACTTTGGACGAGACTCTGTCGACACTACAACGAAGGGGTCGAGGTTCGCGACACCTAAATTTAGTTCGCCGGCACTCTGCTCCTTCTACCTCGGCTATCTTGTGTCGCGTCAGTCGAGGACGACAACCGACGCAAAGATCGCAACTTTATACGCCTTCGGAGCTTTTCATCGACCGCATCATGTTTACGCTACGACGATATAAAGCGCGCGAAATATGAAGCGGCATAACTAGATTGCGCATAGACAAAAACGACAATATACGATACATGATGTACGAAAGATGCGTCCAGAAATTAGTGTAGTAAGTTTCTTCCGTGTATCATATTCTTGACAATACATTAAACGCTAGATTCATAAACGACGATTTGCACAATCGGCTTTTTGGGCGGCGGCACTGTCGCGGATGCAGCGATATCGCGCAATACCGCCTCCACAGCTTCCTCCCAATCCCGGTCCTTTGTGACATCACGATCAATGGAAGTGGACCATCTCAAACGCGGCATAGATATGATTGTCAATACTTTCCTGTGAAATTAACATTTCGTTAATATTAATTCTCTTTTGATGTTAAAAGTTAAACTATCTCTAGTAACTCTTCCATTCTAAGATAATGGAAAATAATGCTATTATCCGATAGAGATATATATGTTTATCTTTTCTATTTCAAAAATCATTTTTCAAATAAATATTCTTCCATTAGGTGTTCATTAAAATGATTTATTTAAGATTATAATACAAGAAAAATATAAAAAATTATAATTTGATAATGAGCACATTACTTGTGTGATTTTTGGAAGAATTAAAAAAGCGATAGATACCTTAGATCAGAATGTAGCGCGGACATGTCGCCGCCTGCTTGTTCGCCGAGTTTCCTGAGAGTTTCAGCTAATGGACCACTCAGTCTTTGCAGCCTTCTCCAAGACTGAGCGTATTGTCGTCTAACGAGTTCGATGATAGTGCCAGTCAGCGCCAAACCGACCAAGATGTACAAAGTACACAATAAAGTGTATTTAGGCTTCTCTAAAAACCAACATTGTGCATTTTACATAATTGGAGTAGAGATTCTGCGCACGGTGCACAGATACAGATTATCCATTTTCATCGGGACAAACTCCCATTTTTAGTAACAACGATCTATTTATTTGTTATTGTCAACTTAATACATCAACATGATTGCTTTTGCTGTAATCGTTCTTTTAGTCGTTGGATTGAACATATAGCTATTTCTGGCAAGATCATAATATAGAAACTTGTATTGAAATTATATATAAATTTCCTGATGAGATATATAATAAAGATGTAATAATTTCTTTTTTATTGCACACAGAGAGTTATGCCCACTAGTTTCTTTATATTATTACGATATTTTCTGAGAATTGATAATGTAATGTTGAGAATAAATGATACTCGTATTTACCATGAATTTGGCAAAAATTACTTATTACGTGAATTTACATCACGGGAAGCTAAAGTTCAACATATACGAGTAAGTAATATAATATATTCATAATTCACATAATTCACTCTTGAAAGAGTATCAAGAAAAAAATCAAGAGTATTATCAAACTTAAAGGAGGTTAGAATATTAAGAACATATAACTTTCACTTTGCATGTCATTACTCAAATTTTTCATTTAACTTGAAACTGATGATAGTTAAAGTCTACAATTCTTACAATGAATTAATCAACAAAAATAATTTTCAATGTACATTACTAGGATAATACTTTTTATCCATTTCATGTATTACTATGGAAATTTCATATATGGAAGCTAAAAATATTATTTTGTAAGGTTTCCCCGGCACTCTTTTTGGAGCCAAGTGCAATAGCGCCTCATTTGCCATTAATTGGAAGCCGATATGACAAATTGATAATATCTGAAAAGAAAGAAGGACCCAAATTAACTGAAGGTACAACTGGGCAGAATAAAACTACGACTGAAGGACAAATAACACAATCTGATGAACTCACGGCAGACAATTCCATCACATAAGGCTTGTGTTAAAGTTTTTACATTATGTGTCATTATTTCCTTGATGAACATTAATTAGGAACTCGCTGTACAGATTATTAATTTTCATTTTGATCATGTTAAAATATATTAGACATGTATAAACTAAGAAATTAAGAAATGAAAACATAGCAAGGAAGTTATACCTTTGTTGGCATTTTATTTAAAATCAATCAATGCCAAGATTTGATCAAGACTGATCAATTTTAATTTGATCATCTTTCAATCCTTGCTACAATAGTTTTAACTTATATTCTTCTCTCGTTTAATTTATAATAAAAATTCACGCCAAACTGCTAAATTAATTTGTTCAATAATGTCTATCTTTTTTTTTTTTAGAGAGAGAGAGCTTTACTTACTCGGCACAAGATCGCCAAAGCCTATAGTGGTCATTGTAACGAAGCAGAAATAAAATCCATCGAAAAAGTTCCAATCGTCCTCCCACAGCATAAACATACCGGCGCCGCAGGCAAGATATAGAAAGAGCAGTACGATAGCGGCACAGGCGCCTATATAAAAAAAACTATCGATCAGACTAAAAATCAATTTAAATCTCCGAATTAAACTTACCGAGCGATCGTCGACCGGTTACGTTCGTCGGAACGCATGATAATTTCGCGCGAAACGGAAATTTCAATTTTAGCGTCAACGCAATATACACCACTCCCTCCGCAAACAGCTTTCCCAAGTCGGCAATCACGATCAGGGTGAGAGGTATGCCGATGAGAGCGAAGAGGATGCAGAAAATCCTTCCCCAATTAGTCGAGGGCACGACGTTGCCGTATCCTATCAAATATAAATTATCATGGAGAAAATTAAAAGCTATGGATGTCAGAAATATTTAATGTTCAAACTTGAGATGACATGTAATGATATAATTTAGTACGTAAGTTTAAGATTTCTCAGAATAAGAAATAAGAGGTGGAAGAGATTGATTTCCATCTTATCAGTAAATTATAAACTTTTTGCTAGTAATCAGGGCCGGTTACCAATCGTAGTGAGAACAGTGCTGGCGAAGAAAACCGCTTGGAGAACGCTCCATCTTTCAGTTATGATGGGCGGCAAGTCCGATTCAATGTGAGCATCCTGATCCATGGTATCCGTTACAAAACTGACCAAAAGACCCGCTTCAGCCGCATCCTGAACAGCTTCTTCGTAGGCGCGCAATTTCACGCTTACCTGAAACAGCCGACCGTGTCATGGCGAATGAACGAGAACGGTAATACTCGCATATTTTCGGCCATCGAGTTTCTCACCAAGGTTCGCAAATTGAAGACGTCCGTATTGTTGGAAATGGACTCGATGAAACGATATCGTTGCATACGTAATTTTGCGCGCAAACGTTCGAGCCGTCCGAGCTCTGCCGGGAGTTCGATCTGCCGAAAGACCTGGAGAGAGAAGCAGGTTTAAAATTATCTATATTTTAAGAAAAATAATCTTATGCAACCAAATCATATCCGAAAATATATACGCAAACTTGAGCTTGTAATATATCAAAATCAATCTTATGTGTGGGTGGTGAAAATATTAAACAAGATGTCAAAATATATATACATGTATGTATGTGTCTTACATACGTATGTATCCTCTTACAGCAAGATTTTACCTTAACGATCGAAGCTAATGATAAATCAACAGATTTATTGCATCTGTATAGATATATTACTCTCGAGTCTCAAGTGCTAAATACACTTTAGGCTAATCATCGAGTCGAGATGCGCATATTTATCGCGAACAATATCCTTTCGTCTACAATAATTTATGATGCTGGCCTTAAACCGGTCTTTAATAAATCTTCATCAGTTGTCAATTAGTGCTGGAATTAATTTTTGACTTGTAAAGGATTATTATACATAAAATGTTTATTCGAAAATGGCTTTGTAACGTGAAAATATATCATTTTCGATTGTTATTATTATTATTTTATAAAAAAGCTTTTACTAGTCAAATTAATATCCGTGTATACGTGTTGCAATTAATGTCTTACATGCCTTTTTACATATGAGAAATATATAAACGTAAAACTCTCGAGTTCATTAAGAATCGTTTATCAGTTAAAATACACGTAGCTATTTTTACGGCTATGTATTATGAGGCACTCAAAAAATCGTAACCATCGAGAATTTCAACGTATGATATTTTTACCAGACTTTATTAAAAGGCGTCAGTGGTAATATACTTCCTACTAAGCTGCACGATTGGTCCGTTGCTAAAAATAAAATTATACGATTCGATAGGCTACAAGTCCGTTCGTTATTATATAGAATGTAAATATTTATGGAACATTGAATATATACATTTAACTCTACGCTGGAAATCTCGATGTTTCCCTAAACGAAAATTCGAACGCACAGATTATTTCGGAACATTATCGGGATATGCTACAATTCACTCCTCTCTTTCGTTTTATTTTGCGTCTTATATAATCAGCTAATTTTCCTCAAAAATACTGAAAGTTGAACGAAAATTGAACATTGTTACAATTAATCATAAATAAGAATAGAAAATGTGTAGTAGAAAGAAAATAAATTATCAGTTTTATTAAGATTCTTTTTAGATCTATCTGTTATAGGAAAGATGTTTGCAAATTTTTCAAAATGTCGATCTGCGATTTCAAAGACTTTACAGAGAACTTATTATTCCCACTTTTCTCTCTCTCTCTCTCTCTCTTTTATTTTCCATCTTTCAATCCTTGCTACAATAGTTTTAACTTATATTCTTCTCTCGTTTAATTTATAATAAAAATTTCACGCCAAACTGCTAAATTAATTTGTTCAATAATGTCTATCTTTTTTTTTTTTATTGAAGCTATATATATATATTATACTCTTATTTACATATAATCGACAACGAGAAGAGTTCCGTACACTATAAAATGATTTTTAAATGACCTTAAAAATCATGTTTAAGTGAGAATAGAGTAAAAACCACGAAACAGTTATAAGATGACAAATTTAATTTATTAAATGCTCAAGAAATGATTGTAGCTATCAATCATATACTGTAAATATTTGTCGATTTTAATTTTACCAATTTGCAAAATCGATCTAGTTACTTTAATTATATTTACGTACATATATACACATATTTGCTAATATTATAATTAGTGATTTTTATAAGTAAAATAAATGTTGCATTGTCAATGTATTTTCATGAGTTATGAGTATGTTTAATTATTTTAAAAAATGGATTAGAAAATATTAAGAAAAAAAGGTATATAAATACACGAAAAAATATTTTATAATGCGGTAATCTCTCTCTTTCTTTCACAATATTGAACTGAAACATTGCAATTATTTTTGTCATTTAATTCTATAAAGTATATCGACTAATCATGTCCCCCCCCTTTTTTTTTATTTTGATGTACCAATATCTCAGCCACTATTGATATGAAATTATTACTGATCCTTTTTTTTTTTTCCTCGAAATTTTCGCTGAGAAGATGTCTTGTAGTTGAGTTAACATCTATGCATTGTTGCCTTGTATGGCTTGACTTTGAGAAGATCACGCTTTTATATGCATTTCACATACTAGAAATCTTCCCCGTTTCATTCTTTGTAAATTTTTCAACATTTTTCTGCTAACAATTTTGTAAAAAGACTTATATGTTCTTATATAAATCTCAATCTATTAATTTTGAACTGGATAGATTTCAAATTTGGATGTTGAAGAGAATGCGATTGGACCCTGGTCTCGGATAAGCCTTTGACTAGATTCCACACAGAAAAGCTTTGCCTCTCTGTATTTCATCATAAACACCATTGCATGTGTTTCTCTTTCTCTCCCCGAATAAGCAGAAAATAAATATCAAAGGAAAAAGAGGAAGGAAGAGGAGAAGAACCGAGGGAGAGAACTGATCGGCTTTCGGGTTGGGCTGTCTTCCCACCACCGCACGGTGGTGTTTATTCGCGGGCGCAAAAAAACTTGGGTGAATTCCATCGTACGGGTCGACAGAGACGAGGGAGTTGGAGGGGAAAGAGAGGAAGACGAAGAGAAGAACAAGGAGAGAAGGCGAAGCGAAGAGGAGATAGAGAAACGCAATAAGAGCAAGAAACAAGGAGGTCGTCGACGACAGCAATCTCTCGTGAGTAGGCTTATCCCATTGCCTCCGTCCCACCTTATAGCGCTCTCACACGCTACCAGCGGGTGCGTAGGTGTTTCCGGCCGGCTGAAGAAGCACGGCCGCCTGCGCCCGTCGATCCAGAAGAGGACAGTCGAGCCAGGATAAAATCAGAGAGAAGAATTCTCTCTCTCTCTCTCTCTCTTTTATTTTCTTTCATCGTCAAATTTAGATTCGATTAAGTTATATATTTTCGATATATTTCTATGTTTTAAAACTCACCAATCCACCGATCGCGGTGTAGAGCATCAGAGCGATTAACAAGGCCACATGACCGGCGATCGACTTGATCTTCCTCACCGTTTCTTCCTTAAGGAATCCTTTAGCATCCTTGTTGTCCATTGCGATGCCGAGCTCGACGGATGAATTGCACTTGTCGTTTACCATTTCGTCGTGCGCGCCCACGTTTTCTGCGAACGACGCAAACACGTCGAACACTCGGAGGAGACTGATCGACACACTCTGCTGGGCGATCCTCGAGTAGAGGCTTTCTGCATTTCGAACTGCATGCGACATTGAAAATATTGTGCACTATCATGATGGAAACCATAGTGCAATATCAACGCATGCATATTTGCAAAAAAAGAACTTAAGGATGCTTTGGCTGTACAATAGTAGCAAAAAACTATCAAAATTAAAAAAAAAAACATATTTCTTACGTTTATACTGTTTGAAAAATCAAATAAATAAATCCGGATTATAAAAAAAAATTAAAGTATCACAAAATAATATGGTTTTTAACGTGTTTGTAAAAGAAAATAGTTGCAATTAATATTTTTCCTAATTTATGACAAAAACTTTTGATCGTGAATACCTCCTGAAATCAACTGCAAGAAACAAAGAAAAAAAAATAATTTGCAGAGAGAGAGAGAGAGATAATATCTTTCTACAATTTTTAGTAAATAACTTTTAAATGCATAAGTAGATCTAAATCAAGTTTTATACAAATATTTATTAGAGTTTCCTTATAATACGTGTGAAAATTTTTATTTCGTTGACAATGTTTTTCCCTTGTCAAATTTGTCAACAAGTGTTACAATACGCGATTTTCCATAAGAATCAATACTAACTTTAAACTTAAATAATTTCCAAACCGTTAAGAGAATTGTGCTCAAATTTTACGTAGATACTCAGAAGAAATAGTAAAATGTTTTAACATATTCTTAAAGCAGCATTACAAAGAGATAAGTGAAAAATGAACAAACAAAAGAACATCATTTTTATATCTATCGAATATATTCAATTTCTAATATACTTGAAAACTCAGGGACACTTAAAAAATATTTCTCGCGAACTACAATAAAATTGAAACTTTTATATCTCTATCTTTTTTTTTTATTAAATGTATTATTTCTTATAGATAAAAGTATCGTTACAGACGTTTACCGATATTGAAAGCTTATGAAATATAAATTAAAGTATTAAAAATTCTATATATCACCTGGTATAATTTCAAAGCGCAAAATATATCACGATAAAACAAATGAACAAATATAGTTTATATCAAGCAAAATTTAATCCTTATTAAAGTCAGACATTAATCTTACTTACTTTTACATCATTTTAATTCTGATCAACATTCTCTGCGTCGCATACAATATCAAATTAGAGTAAAAATTAATGTTATATTTTAACATTATTTAATGTATGCGCAATGCGAATATTTTACAATAATAACAAAGTAACGGAACATAAAACACTCAATATAACACTTTATAACACTATTAACGCACTAATATAAATTAAATGTATTAAATATATCACTGCGAGTGCGCCGGATATATGCTACAGTTATTCATAGATAAAGTAAAATTATAGACAAACAAACTAATCGCGAATCCAATGAGTACAGCTTGCACTAGCGCACAGTGTTGGAAATATTTCCAAATTGTTAATTAGACATTTTGCTCTAAACAATTCTAATACATTCTAGTTAATTGGTTAATTAGTTAAGTGATTTATTTAAAATGATACAGACATACATAAATATGGAAGCTTTTTAGCAAGAAAACACAGTGTAGACGCAATGTTACAATTGGCTACCAAATAGAGAATTTTTAAGCCCCAAAAATTTTTTCATTTTATAGCCAATCGTGTGACATTGGACGCATTCAGCGGAACCAACAGTTGAATATCGTCTTGTCAACACTCGACATTGATTTGTTGGTTCTAAAAGCCCTTGCACAATGCCAGGCAACAAACAATAGGAACAGGAAATAGAAATTATCCACCAATAGGAACAGGGAATAATCTATTCCCTGCTCCTATTGGTGGATAATTTCTATTTCCTGTTCCTATTGTTTGTTGCCTGGCATTGTGCAAGGGCCTTAAAAGTAAGAACTAATCACGTTTGATTGCTACTGAGCGGTCTTTTCTGCTGAATGCGGCTATTGTGTTTTATTACTTGGGCTAAGTTCCAAAACGGTGTAAAATTTCCTCTCCAAGGAAACTTTTATTCGATGGCCAGCCTGGAACCAATCAGAGACGCTCAAAAAAGTTTCAGAACGGCCATCGGAGTAAAATTTTCCTCGAAGAGTACGTTTTGGAACATAGCCTTGAAAGGTCTCTATAAAGACCATTGCACGTGAAAAAATTTTAGTCGTAACCGTAAAGGTGCCTTTACATGGCAGCGTCAAGCGTCGAGCGTCGAGCGTTAAGCGTCTGCGCAGAATAGCGGTTGGAATTACATTAAAGGCCACGCGACACCCCGTAGTATTTAAGATCTATTCTGTCTGTCTTAGAATAACGCTAGCTGCTTGCATGCAAACGCCGCGATCCTACCTCACCTCCGCATCGCCTGCACGAGCCGTGCTCGCATCGCGAGCCCTGCACGCGTCAGCTACTGCGTAATAACGCCTCCGCGAACTTCTGTACGCACCGCTCTCGCATGAAGCATTGTAAAAAACCTAGCTCAGTGTTAGTTTCTGATAACCGCTTGAATAAACTAATTGTTCGACCCAATTATAACGAGAAAAAGTAAGTTGGAGTTTCTCCCTTCTCCCGAATCCTGGCACCGGCGAGCCTTGATCCGCGGCGTACGGGAAAGGTGAACGGTTACAATGTAAATACAAATATCAATTTTTAGTATTAGTAATGTGTATCAGAACATAATTTTTTTTATCTCGACCGAATTCATATCACTCATCATGCTATTAGCCGCAAGAAGCTGGAATCTATCTCATTCAGATTCCTGCGCAATGATTTCTGTGCAGACGCAGACGCTCGATGCTCGAGCTCGATGCTCGATGCTGCCATGTAATGGCACCTTAAGATCGTAAGCAAATCAACCAATCACAGTTAAATATTCTTATTATGTTATTAGAATGCTTGATTGTGATTTGTCGATTTGCTTACGGCCTTAAGGCCGTATTACACTACGGGTTGCGGGTTTGGTTGGAAGAAGAAGAAGAAGAAGAAGAAGAAGAAGAAGAGAAAGAAGGAGAAAGACGGAGCGATGACGAGTTGGTGGCGAGAACGGCGTAGAAAGAGAGCTAAAAAGATAGAGAAAGAGAAAAAGAGAGAGGAGATTCAATCGAAAGACAGAGAACAACTCGACCGGAAGCAGTTACTCGCGCGATGCAACGAAAATATCAGGGCGTCCGTTTCGCGCAATAGGATTGCCCGCGCGCGTCCGCCCGGAGTTTAATATAGAACACTCGCGCGGCCGGCTCCGTCGCGAAAACATCACGCGCTGACGTCGACCGTGCACGAGTTCCTTCTCTCTTTCCCCGCTCGAGAAAAACAACTCCTTCTTTCCGCTTGGCCGTCGCGGCTCCTGGCCTTCTTCCTCTCTTCGGACGCAACGCGGATCCCTAAAATTAGGCTCGTGTCCACTCGCTCGGCGCGCCGCCGTCGCCGCGGGTGACATCCGCGTCGGAGAGCCGGACTCGTCGAAGGTCTTTGTCCGTGACAGTGGTGTGGCCGTGCAGTGGCACGCAGCGATCTTTGAATAACGGGAACAAGGTGCACAGCACCGGCACATCGCCGATTTCGCGTCCTTCGGATATCTCAAAATGAGAACGACTATTTTTGTCCTTCTGTAATTCGTTTCGAAAAGAAGTGAGAATCGACAACCATTATCACTTATTGGATGACACTTACAATTAGAAATGAAAGAATGGGTACGCTATATCGCGGTTTGGATGTACTCGTCGCGTTATATATCTAATTTCGATATCTCATTATATGAGAGCATCTAAACTGTCCTTCTCGATAATTCCAAAGGAAGCGAAATTTTATATCGATTTGCACAGATTTTATTTCGATATTTCTATATGGATGTTATTTGATGATGCTTAGAAGCGGCAGAATGGAAACGTTATGTCACACTTGCTGGCTTCCTATTTCAATACCTTGAAACGAGATCGAAGTCATCCTGCAATTTAGCGGCTCCAAAGAAAACATTATATATGTAGATGTAACACACATTTATTTTCAAGTCACAGAAAATGATATTGTTCAAATTTAAATTATTATTTTGAGAGAGAGTTAGGCTTTCCCATTATATGTTTCTACAATAATTTCTTCGCTCTTTCCCAAGTAAATTCGAATAAATATTTATTTTATTCTTATATAACGCAAAAAATATAATAAACTATCTAAAATATCATGCAATTTCTTTCGAAATTTTGTTCATTTTAACCGCATTTTTTATTTTCTTTTTTTTACAATTTCTTCTCCAACGTCGGAGTATACATATCTTTATATATATCTTTTTTCTCTTTAGAAAGTGCATATAATAGTATAGGGCGACCGAAAGGAACAGAAGACCTATTGACAATCGCGCGACTATTCTCACATTTTATTTGAACTTGTCAATTAGGACATGTGAGAAAGGAGAGGGAGATCCGCCCGTATGATTTTCACATCGCGTTTTAAACGCGGAAATCCATTGTCGACATCCCTCATGATGCCCCGATGTCTCTTTTGACGTGCTTAACGAGTCGCTAAGAGAGGGCAATCTTCCGTTGTTGCTGCGTTCGTTGAAGCGTGGAGGAAGGGATAAGTAACAGAGCACGGCGGGATGAGGAGGAAGAGAGAAGAGATGGAAGAGGGAGACCTGGTACTGGCTCTTCGAGGTTTCGTGGAAGACAGTGGCAGGGAGGCGAAGAAGGAATGCCACTTCCGGTCACATGACACCACTGGACCAGCCGACCACTTTGCTCTCTTCTTATTTTCGGCTCGTCGTCCGGATCTCTCCACGCCTCCTTCCTCTCCTTCTCCCTCTTTTCGATTAACGTGCGGCGTCGCAAATCGGTCACGAAACAAACAGATGGACGGCTGCTTTTCGACTTTCGTTAACGAATTCGTCAGTTTCGAAGGAACTTTGTCGATCGATAATTTCGAACATATAAGGAACCATTTACGGATCGAGAAGAACATTGTTAGATGATATATTTTTGTGCCGGAAATTAAAAAAGAATTACTTTTGCCCTCTCCTCCCTATTCATATCTCGAATGTACTGTCAATTATTCTGAAAAATGGCGCTGATAAAAATTAGTGATGAGAAAAAAAAAGTAATGAGAGATGGCCAGATATTCTTCAGTTAGTTTTATACCGGTTTTTACGCACAAACATAATATTGAAAATTAAAATGTCGTCATCAAGAAAAGTGAAAAAATTCGCCTAAACAAATATTCATCCCAATTTTTGATAAAAAGTCGGTCCAAAATTATATATATATATAGCTGGCGACTTATCTCAGATTTGTCTCTCGCGCGTGTAGGATAATTATTAATTACGACCGTGTAGTATTACAATGTGCCGCCGTTAACACTTACAAACCGCTATCTCAGATTTTATATTGAGAAACTCTGTGATGTGAGGCTGCAACGAATGGCAGAGCTGCACGTCCCGCGAGCTAACGGACTCACATCCGTTCGCTTCCTTCGCCGCGCGCCGCGATGCATTCAATTGCCCGCTAATGATGATCCGGGACCTCTCGCCTAACGATCGCCTTGTCGAGATCGGCTGCAAAGCAAACACGCTCAGAAGTGGTTGCAAACTCTCGGCGTTCCCGGTCGGACGACTAAAGGATATTCGAAAAAATACACTCTATCTGGATGTAATATACGCAATCGACTAGAAAAGAAACGAAATCCAATACAAGATAGGATTCTTCTTCTATATTTCATCGATCGCACTTGTTCTCTTTGAAAGTTACCGCTCTCCATCTGTAAGATGTCGTGAAGCTACTCGTTTAGTTTTATGATGTATCGGAATACAAATAAACGACTGAATAAAAAAAAAAATCAATAATACAATGATATAAAAACTATGATTAAAATTAACACATCTTTGAGCTTTATATAGACAAAAGAGATTATTTATTTGTACGTATCGTCCCCCTCAGCTCAAATACGGATGGTTATCTCGGACCACCTTGCGTACGCATGGGGGGACGGAGGGGGGAGGGGGTGGAGAAGAAAATTTAAATAAATTACGATTAGTATTGATATACAGGAGAATTGTGTGATTGGTTGAATATATAAATGCATAAGTATATACATAGTCTATGCATGTATATATATATGTATATATATGTATATATATATATTTACAAGACATATACAGATCGTATAGACTTAATATTAATAAAAACTTGTTTTCTCTCGCTTGAGACGCACCCGCATGCGCGCATACAAACACCTACACACGATAGACACACACAACACACTCACACGTGCACATACTCACACAACATATACATACACGTACACTCGCGTTCCATTCACGCCTTCGTGTCCTTTCGCGCCTTCACTAGCCGATTGGTGTGCAATCGCATTGTTGTCTTCGATAAATGTCTACAAGTCGCGATTTCGATTCGAGTCGAGCATAAATCTCATCGATTTAGCAATTTTCATACGCATTAAAAATAAAAGCGCACAAAATAAAATATCCGCTATATATTATTGTACAATGTAGGGTGTAGATGAAGAAATCTCATTTCTAGTATCTAGATTGAATTAGAACCAGAAAGAGCATCGGTTAAACCGCGGTCAAGAGATTCCAAAAGGGAAAATTTGATCCAAAGATCGTTTGGATATTTGCACCTAGGTAAGAAAATTTTTCGTTCCCACTTTGATAAGAGACGCTCCTCGAAATGCGCGCACACAGTTGTTAGAAGAAACATATAATCGCTAACGACTTGTGAATCGCGAAAGGACAGAAGCTCGTCTCGCTTTAGTATATTCAACAGTTTGGTGTTCTTTCGTTATACTTCTCGTCGCATTCGTCTTACATGAAAAAAACCTTGTTACGCTTTTTCACACCGTTTAATCGTTCTCGCACCGAGGCCATAAAATTCTTTTCGTACTATATCTCTTCTGATTGCTTCTTATTCTCGTTGTCTCAATGCCCGCCCTTCGCAAGAAGGGTGAAAGAGTGATCGAGAAAAAGAGTTGGAAAAAAGAAACGCTGAGTCATCTCTCGCGGGACAAAAATCATGCTCGCGAACAATTCCGAAAATTCTATCGCCCATGTTAATCGATATACACGCAGAGACATACATACGTACAATCGTGTTTGTGTTTCGCATCAAAATTATTTGCTACTAGCAATGTATGATTCCAAAACTGTAGTTATTTTTTGACAACGATATTTTGATCGTATTATTTCTTCTTCCACATAACGTGAACCTGAATATCTTTGCACAATTTTCCTCTCGCAGTTCCTTTTATATTCTTTGAAAATTATAATGTCTATGTGCTCTCTGCAACTTTCAAATGAAAGAAAACAAAATACGGAAGAATATCTGGAAAAATTAAGAGCAAAAAAGAACGAAAGGAGTAATTATAGTGAAAAATTACATGATTCGAATAATTGTACTCTGCTTCAACAATATTCGAGTTATTTCTCTCAGAGGAAGAAGAAACGTATGCTCTAAATATCAAGATCGTGCAACGACGTTTGCAGTATCGCGTGCTTCACTCCCGACCGTTCTCGATTCATCTTCGTCCACTCGCGATTATTTACTCATGCAATCTTAGCCCAGTTACACTCGATCATCGTACATTCGCACGCATCATTCGCCCACGCCTCGCGCTGAAATGCTAAAACCGCGCCAGTCATGCGACTCCCTCTTCGAGCGCGAGGATACTCTGCTCTGAAGAATATCGCTTTGAAAGAGAAAAAGCCAGTCGCTGTATTTGAATTTCTTTCGCTCGATCAAATCTAACGCGGCCGTAAATAGTGTTTAACACTAGAACCACATATCCCTGGCACGGGCTCGATGTTATCTTCATTTCTCATCCCTCTTGATTAATGTGCCCGACTGAGTTTCCGGAACCGCCGAACAACTGTACCACTTTGAAATAATCTTTTGTTAAAAATTTCATGCCTTTATACCTGCAAAAGGAGTCAAATATAAACATATCACCGGCACTTTTGTATTTTAAAACTTGGTAGCAGTTCTAGTGTTAAACCGTGCGTATCAGTCGTACGCACTTGCCGCTACCTGGTGCCTCATGAAAGAGAGAGAGAGAGAGACAGACAGACAGACAGAGAGAAAGAAAGCGAGAACAGAGTTTGCGATTTGCCTGCGAGAAAAGCGAATGCGAATTCGTCTGCGATGTTACCGATCTTAAGTCTATATTTATAGCGAGCGAAATCAACGGTAGACGAAAGGGGGAAAAGAGGGCGGCTTCCTCTTTCTCGCGATTCCATTCCCACGTGTGTGTACATGTATATGCATGCGTATGTGTGGTCCGTGCCCTAAAAGACAAACGCTGAGAAAAAGAATGCTCGCAGGACTAGATAATACTAGAAAAAACATCAACGAAATGGAAACGCGAGACTCCTCGCGACAATCGGCGCGCGCGCGCCTCCGCTATTTTCCGTCTCGCTCCCTCCTTCCCCGTTCTTCCTCTCGAGAAACATTTTCGTATATGCGTCGATATAACTTAAAGTAACCATAGCTTCCTCGTAATACGCGTTCTTAACGCCACGACTTGTAAATATTACGAATCAGATTATATAGCAAAAAAGAAACTGATGTAATTCAATTTCCGTCCCATTCTCTTTCTCTCTCTCTCTCTTCCTTTTTGTTCTATAATTTCCTCCCCCTTTATCGTTGGAAAACTTTCATCATTTTAGCGGATTTCACTCAGCGGCCATATTGGTCCATGCGTTATTGACATACAATTACGCTTTTACGCTTTCCCTCTTCCCCCAATTCTATCAATCGCCTCTCGCTTCACCATGAACCATACACTTAGCGTTACAGCCGCAAATAAATTAACCGTAGAAAAGTTTGTTCTTTATACAAACATAATATACAATATACATTTCTATCTATCTATCTATACATATATATATATAT